ATTTCTCGCTTTCTGTCTCTATGTCTCTCTCTGTCTGTCTGGCGAGAGCGCATGCGCCCGGTAGCAAAAAACCTCTCCAAAAAAAAAAAAAAAAAGAGCTCTCTCCCTTCCTCAGTAAAAACAAACAAAATAAAATATTCAAAAAAAAAAAACAAAAGAAATCTCAAGTGTTGTTTAGTATTTAAAGCCTACCCATGAGTAAGAGTTGCCCAAATGGGTTGTTTCCATTTCTTTTTCCTTAGAACCTTTCTATTATATTTACTTGAAGCTTGACCTAAACATCTAGAATACAGAGAAGTATTCTTACTTGAAGGCTTTCATTAGATATCAGTGCTTAAAATAGGATTTTTCATAAAATCCACAAACTCTGCAAGTGTATCATTAAATGAATGTCAAATGGATCACTCTTCATTTTGTTAATGACCAGTCTAATCAGTTCAGACAGATACAGACAGTTCTGGAATGTTAGCAGTGCAGAATGTTTGGCATAACTAGTGTTGCTCTCCGAACAATCCTCGTGGTATTTTACTCTTTACCTCCTCGTTTTGATTACCTGCCACTGTCGCCTCTCTGTTTCTCTCAAACCAAGGTATTGTCTGTGATATGCTTTTCCTCACTTTGTTCAGTTTGGTTTAGACTTAGGAAATAATTTTTTTTTCTTCTATTACCCACACTTACCTTTTTTCTGTTTTCTGCCTTAGCCAGGTAGTGGACAAGAGAAAGACTCTGGCAGAAATGCCTATTTCCTTTCCCCACCAATGCACAGGCACTCGCTTTCTTACTTAAAAGAAAAGGAAAAAATGGACCAGCAGATGGTGTAATGGCTACATCGCTGGACTCCCATGTAATTGACTGAGGTTCAAGTCCCGGGCCCAGTAGCTTAAACTCATGCCTGGCACGTGTGCATGCGTGCCCAAGATCCTGAGAGGAGAATGGGAGAGAAGGGACTGCAGCGTGGTCATCCCTCCTGGGGGGTTATTTCTCGCTTTCTGTCTCTCTGTCTTTCTGGTGAGCACACGCACCCTATAACAAAAACCTGTTAAAAAAAAAAAAAAAAAAGAAAACAAAGAAAAGAGAAGAAAAACAAACAAAAAAAAGCAAACAAACAAAAAAACAGAGAACTCCCAGAGTGTCTTAGTCCACTATTACATTGCTAAAATAAATATCCAAGACTGGACAATTTATAGAAATAGAGACTTAAAGCCAGCCCGTGACCTGGAGATGAAGGTGGCAGGATCCTACATAGGTAACTGTGCAGTTCAAGTCCTGGATCCAGTGGCTTGAGAAACATGCCAAGCACATGAGCATGTGTGCCCAAAATCACGAAAAGGAGGGAGAGATTGCGATGTGACCATGCCCCATGGGGATGCTTTTCAACCTTCTCCCTCTGCATCTCTGTCTCGGTCTCTCTCTTTCTCTGTCTCCAGCAAGTTCATGTACCCTCTGACAAAATTTAAAAAATAAATGAGGTTTATTTGACTCACAGTTGCAGTGGTTGGAAAGCTGAAAGGCATCACAAAATGGTGGGGAGCAGAACTTTGAGCAAGGCAGAGTGTGGCCTGAGGTCCTCTGCCTGTCTCATTTCCTGTCCTATAAACCCCTCCAGGACTCAGTCACAGACCCCCCTCCACCACCCATTTACTGATCTCTTCTCAGGAGGCCCCTTCCTTTAGCACCATAATCATGTTTATAATCTTCATCTTGTTACAGTTGGCTCAACACATGAATGGGGGGTATGTTCAAAATATTATATGAAGGAAAGGTTGTTTGCACTGAGTCAGGACAAACAACAGTGTTTGGGAGGAACCTCCAAACTGTTCGGCTTCCTCTGGTGACTACTAGGCTGCTGGTTTCAAAGTTAGTTATTTTTGAGAGATTTTTGCTATAAGGGTGTGTGTGCTCACCAGAGGGAGAGAGGGACAGACAGAAAGACAGAAAGTAAGAAATAGCCCCCCAAGGGGGATAGCCACACCTCAATCCCTTCTCCTTTTGGGATCCTGGGCATGCCCAAACATGTGCCTGGCATGAGTTTTAAGCCACCAGGTCTGGGACGCAAACTGCAGTCAACTTCCACTATGTGGAAGTCCAGCAACATAACCATTATGGCATCTGCTGGTCCCATACAGTTCTTTTTTCTTTTTCTTTTTTTTGAGACTTTTGCTATAGGGCACATGTGCTTGCCAGAAAGAGACAGACAGAGAGACAGAAAGTGAGAAATCACCCCCAAGAGGGGATGGCCATGCCGCAGTCCCTTCTACTCCATTCTCCTCTCGGGATCTTGGGTATGCACGCACATTCGCCCAGTGTGAGTTTAAACCACCAGGTCTGGGACTCGAACCGTGGTTGACTACATGGGAGTCCAGCGACATAGCCATTACACCAACTGCTGGTCCCTGCAGTTCTTATTTTTTTAAGCTGTTGGGTTGTTTGGTTTGGTTTGATTTGGTTTTTTGTTTTTTGGTTTTTGGTTTTTTTTGAGAGGTTTTCACTATAGGGCGCGTGCACTCTCCAGAAAGACAGAGAGAGACAGAAAGCAAGAGATCACCCCCCAGGGGGGATGGCCACGCTGCAATCCCTTCTCCTTCATTCTCCTCTTGGGATCTTGGGGACACAGGCACCCAGCATGAGTTTAAGCTGCTGGGTCCGGGACTTGAACTGCAGTTGACTATGTGGGAGTCAAGCGACATAGCCATTACGCTAACTGCTGGTCCCTAAGCTGTTGATTTTAAGACTTCCTGTGGAACTGAAGTGGAAATGGGTGAAGTTCAATAACATCATAGTCCTCACTGTTTAGACCAAGTTTCAACCATTTTTCTTGAAACTCCTCAAATTTTCTTAGGCCTCTGGTTAATTTCCAGAATTCAGTCCTGGGAAAGTTAGCTTTGACTGTTGTTTGTCAGTGGTCTTGTTGTAGTTACAGAGGCGCAGCTTTTCGGAGGTCCTCAGGCTGCCATTCTCACTGACTTCACGTCACGTGCTATCACGTTTTGACTCTTACTCTCCGCCCCCTCTGTGTCATATCACATTCTCTTTCAGTTGGCATTTCTACTATCACCATAAACTGCCGAGCAGTTCTGCACTTGAGATGCCCCATCAGTTATTTTAGTGAAGTGCCAAATCTGAAATGTTTCCTCTCTGCCTTTTCTGAGTATTTGAGAAACTTCAATTTCCAAATCTCCTATTTATTCTATTGTGTCTGGGATTGTCTTCCTAGGATTTTTACCGGATCTACTAGATTGGATGGAAATGCAATAGGTACGTACTGACACACCTGTGGCATCTGTGGAAGCATCACGTTGCAACGTCTGGTCATTACTAACAAGGCATCACTTGTGTTGTTGGGTCTCGGCTCTAGTTGACTTTGTCCGCTGGCTATGTGCTGTGTCCATGGATGAACTGGCGTCCCCCCACCATCCTCGCATGTTCAGCTTGCAGAAGATTGTGGAGATCTCATACTACAACATGAATCGGATCCGACTGCAGTGGTCCCGAATATGGCATGTGATTGGAGACCACTTCAATAAGGTAACCCTTCTAATTTAAAAACACTCCATCACTGTCAAAATGATGGTGAGGAAGATGATGATGATGGCAACTAATTTTAAAAGAGAAGTGATAAGTAGTCCAGACACGATGGTACACACTGCTGAGACTGCTTCACAGGCTGGGACCATGTGGGGAGGCCTGGGTTCAAGCACTGACTTTACCTAAAGGCCAGGCATGGTGGCATACACTTGTAATTTCAGCAACTGGAGGAGGCTAGAGGAGTGTGCCATGGCAAGACACTGTCTTTTAAAAAAAGAAGTTATAGGGCCAGCCATTGCATGGTAGTTAAAGCAGCTAGATTGTGCATAGCCAACTACAGGTCTGAGTCCTGTATCTGGTAGCTTGAAAACCATACCTGGTTAATGGTTACGTTGCTGGACTCTCACATAGTCGACTGTGGTTCAAGTACTGGACCCAGTGACTTAAACCTCACACTGGGCATGTGTGTGTGCGTGCCCAAGATCCCAAGAGGAAAATGGAGAAGGGACTATACTGTGGCCATCCCCTGGGGGGGTGATTTCTTGCTTTGTCTTTCTGTCTCTGGCAAGCACACACACCCTATAGCAAAAAATCTCTCTAAAAAAAAGAAAAACAGGGAACCAGCAGTTAGCGTAATGGCTATGTCATTGGACTCCCACGTAGTCGACCGCGGTTCGCATCCCGGACCCGGTGGCTTAAACCTCACACTGGGCGCATGTGTGTGTGTGCCTAAGATCCCAAGAGGAGAATGGAGGAGAAGGGATTGTGGCGTGACCATCCCCCCTGGGGGGTGATTTCTCACTTTCTGTCTTTCTGTCTCTCTCTGTCTGTCTGGCGAGCGCACGCGCCCTATAGCGAAAACCTCTCAAAAAAAAAAAAAGAAAAAGAAAAACACACTGGGCACATGTGTATGTATAACTAAAAAATCCTGAGAAAAGAGATTTTGGTATGACCTTCCTCTTTGGGGGATGTTTTCTCACTTTCCCTTCTTCTCTGTCTTTCTCCAGCAAATACATACATCTCTGTAGCAAAATTTTGAGGAGAAGAATAAAACTAAGTGATAAAAAATTGACCCTGTTTTCTAGGTGTCTAAAATGTGTTTCCTCTGCAGATTCAAGGACAGATCGATAGGACTAAAATCATTCTTATGTATTGTTAGAATTCGTCTAGAATCAATTAAAAATCCACTGGCATTGAAAATACTGTAATATTCCACATCCAGGGTAGATGTTACCACCAAAGGTCATTACAGTCCTTGGACAGACATGTTGGTACAGAAACACTGAAATCCCAAGATGCCTCCTTCATGGCCAAAGGTTAAGTTATGCTCTGTGTTGTTCCTGTGTCTGCTGCCTCTGTTCTGACTTCCTTTGCCACCGCTTTGTTAAAATCAAGTAAGCCCAGGTCAGTTCTGTGGTCTAACATTGACAGCGGCTAGGAGTGAACTGGAATCACTCACAACGTTCACATCGTGCAGCAGGTCTCCGGGACTCTCGTCTTCTCCCAGGACTGTGTACCCTTTTCAGCAGCACCCTCACTCCTCCCAGCTCCTGCAGCCACCCTTCTGCTTCTGATCTCCACGGACTTGACCACACTAGGTTTCTCTTATGAGTGGAATCACAGTATTTGTTCTTTCGTAACTCGTTTATCTCATTCAGCATAGCATCCTAAAGGTTCATCCATGTAGAAGGTGTCGGAATTTCCTTTGTTTTTAAGTTGGAGTTTATTCTTCTTTTTGTTAAAAGTTTATTTCTCAGAGACAGAGAAAGAAAAAGCACTCTCCGCAGGGCCTGGCCACACTGCAGTCCCTTTCCCCCATCCAGTTTCCTGGCTCACTGGGCTCCTAGGCATGTACACACACTTCCAGAGGGTTCTGGCCAGTCAGGAAGGGGATTCAAACTGTGGTCAACACGTGGCTTCCAGCTGCTCATTCTGGCCTGCGACCTGCTGCACCACAGGGACTGGGTCTTTTCTTTCTCTGCATCTGACAAATAGTATTCTGTGTATATGAACATACCATTATATAACCATTTTCCTACTGATGTTTCCAATTTTTCATTATTATAAATGATATCACTTCATTGCTTTTGTTAAAATAAAACATTTCTAGGTCAGACCAGTGAAACTGCTCGCTTGGAGTGGGCTGCTACAAGATGCCTCCAGCTCCATTGGCAGGGTAATTCTTCTGCTTTAGAAATTCTGGAGGAAAAGTCTAAAAAGTGCCAACTGAATATAGCCATAACCACAGCTCCTAAAAGTGGGTAAAGCAGGGGCAAATACATTTTTGTTTTGTTTTGTTTTGTTTTGAGAAGTTTTTGCTGTAGGACACGTGTGCTCACCAGAAAGATAGGGAGACAGAAAACAAGAAATCACCCCCCAGGGGGGTAGGGCCACGCTGCAATCCCTTCTCCATTCTCTCGGCACACACGCACACACACCCGGTGTGAGTTTAAGCCACTGGGCCAGGACTTGAACCGTGGTCGACTACATGGCAGTTCAGCAACATAGCCATTATGCCAACTGCTTGTCCCGGCAAAAAACCTCAGTGTTACTGTGGAATTTTTCAAGGCCAGTGATACTCATTTATAATCATTTGCTTTAGATGACAGGTATTGGGAAAGTACAGAGAGACTTTCCAAAGACTGTAAAGTCTTTTGACACCTCGTATGTATTTGGATAGCATCTAAGAGCTGGTTCATGAGCAAAGAATTTTAGTTTTCCAAGGTAAAAAGAGTTCTCAGATTGGTTGCACAATTGTGTAAATGTACCCTATTGGACTGTTTCCTCAAAAATTATTAAGATGGGGCCAGCAGGTGGCATAGTGGTTGGGGTGCTGGACTTCCACATGGTTGACCGTGGCTCAAGTCCCAGTCCCGGCGGCTTAAAACTCACAGCAGGTGTGTGTGTGTGTGTGCATTCCTGAAATCCTGAGAGGAGAATGGAGGAGAAGGGAATGGCCATCCGCTTTGGGGAGTGTTTTCTCTCTATGTGTGTTTCTAGCAAGCACACATGCTCTATAGCAAAAATCTCTCTAAAAAAAATAATAATGATGGTTAAGTGGCACCCCAACTGCATGGGAGGCTGGAAGTTCAGTTCCCAGGCTGACCTGAACACTCTAGGTGCAGATGCACACACTTGTGGCCCTAGCTAATTGGGAGGCTGAGGCAACAGAATTGTGACACAGTGAGACTTTGTCCAAAAATAAATAAACAAACATTCCCTGTCTCTGTCTCCTTCTCCCCCACCAGTCCCCCACCCCCAACAAAGTAAAAAATGAATGTTAAGATGGTAAATTTAGTGTTATATGTATTTTATATATTTTTAAGTGAAACAAAATAGCACATTTTGAAAGCACTTTATAATAAATGTATACCACTAATCTTTCATCATTGTACATAAATAAAATAGGACAGATTGCAGTCAAGAAATGGCATTTCCTTTCTCCGTGGATATTTTCCCAGGGAGCTTGTTTTGAAGGGAGACTGCCCACCTCACTGTTAGAGCCCCGCATCCACAGTCGGACCACACCTGTTTCACCTCACTTCTTGTTCCTGCCCAGGTTGGCTGTAATCCCAGTGAAGATGTGGCTATCTTTGCTGTTGACTCATTAAGGCAGCTCTCCATGAAGTTTCTTGAAAAGGGTGAATTAGCGAACTTCCGTTTCCAGAAAGACTTTCTAAGGCCCTTTGAGCATATTATGAAGAAAAACAGGTATGTGCACTGCTCTGGAATCTGGGTTCTACTCCTCTTTGGGAGCCTAACAAGCCTTCTCACCACAGACTACACTATTCACTAATTCCTCCCTTGATCGTGGACGCAAATAGAATAAACGGGAGTGTGAATCACACTATATGGCATCATTTCCGGTGAACTAGTAGAGAAGTGCCATGCCCACAGTCTTTTTTTTTCTTTTTTTTTTTTTGAGAGATTTTTGCTATAGGGCGCATGCGCTTGCCAGAAAGACAGAGAGACAGAAAGCAAGAAATCACCCACCAGGGGGTATGGCCATGCCGCAATCCCTTCTCCATCCTCCTCTCGGGATCTTGGGTATGCACGCACACATGCCCGGCGTGAGTTTAAGCCACCAGGTCCAGGACTTGAACTGTGGTCAACTACATGGGAGTCCAGTGACAGCAATTACGCTAACTTGCTGGTCCTACATGCCCACAGTCTTACGTTGCCTCTGATGCAGATGCAGACAGTGGTTTCCTGCCTTTGAGAATGGCACTGAGAGTGCCTGCAGAGCCTGGGGCTTCACGGGACTAACCAACATGTCCACGCCTGATAGCACTAGAATCCCAACATCTAATACCAGGCCTTCCCTATTGGGCCTTCTGTTGCTCACTCAGTTTTTGAAAAAGGGTGGTGTGAGTTTAGAATATTGTCAACCACTCTCAGACACTGTCAATGGAAGTTTAACTTGCTAGCTAACATTTTAAAAGGTATTTTGGCAGAGCAGGCCCTGTCGTGAAGCAGTTAAGAGAGCTGGATGCCACATGGCTGACCACAGTTCAAATCCTAGCCCTAACGACGAAAAACACACTGGGTGCCTGTATGTGTGTACCCAAAATCTTGATGGGAAGAAAGAATGCAGGAAAAAGGATTGCAGCATGAGCATGCCCTATTGGGGGGTTTTTCCTCTCTCCCCTGCCCTCCCTCCTTCTCTCATTGCCTTCTTCCCTCCTTTCCCCCTCTGGCATTTAAAAGTAAAAAGTATTGGTGCCAGCAGGTGTCGTGGTAGTTAAAGACATTGGATTCCCACATGGCCAACAGCGGTTCAAATTCCACATCTGGCAGCTTGCTTTCTCACTTTCCCTTTCTCTCTCTCTCTGGTCAAATTTAAAAAAAAATAACAGCAAGTGGAATTAAATAAACAAATAATTCTTTAAAAAATAATAAAAATAAAAAGTATTTTGGCAATAAGTATCAAGAACCTTAGTATTTGTATGCCTTTCAATTCAGTAATTCTGTGCTTCTATAAAATGAACTCCCATGTGAAGTTCATTTGAAATATAATAAAACATTGTGAATCACACAAAATAGTAAAAAAAAAAAAAAAAAAAGAACACACACAAACAGAAATACCCTAAATATACAACAATTAAAGTAACATTGGCACCTCCACAACATAGGATATTGTGTGGCTGTTTAAAATGTTCGCCAAGTGTGTAACGTGGGAAATGTTTAATAGTTGAGTGAAAAGGCAGGTTATAGAATTGGACTAATAGTATAATAAAGATGGTGATATTTATATATCTCTTTATGTGAAATACCATCATGTAAAGGAATTTCTTTTAACTTTTTAGATTTCTGCCATAAGACACATGTGCTCACCAGAAAGAGATAGGTAAGAGACAGAAAGTGAGGAAAAGTGAGAAATCAATCCCCAGGGAGATGGCCCAAGTCTCCAGGTTGGGACTCAAACCACCGAGTCTGCCATGTGGAATCCGGTGCCTTAACCACCATGCTGCCTGCTGGCCCATTTTGTATTACTTTTAACAATGAGGCAAAAAAAGTTTTATTAATAGTTCTTGCCAGTAAGTTGCTTTATTCCCTATGAGGACACAACCATGGCTTGTTATTAGGTATCAAAGTTACCTAGGTATACAGCAGTTATCTGCAGGTGACACAATTACTTTGTGGAGTTTTAGTCCATTTTTAACTCTGCTTTAACTTTCTCCTTGCATTCTCTATATGGTCTTTCCTATTGCCGATTAGTATGGGTACAGCAGACAAATGTGAGTGTTATCCTAAGCCAGGTGAAATTTGAAAGTCAAATCTGCAAACCCAAGAGTGTTCTAATGACTACCAAACCTGGTGTGATAGAAGCAGTAGGTTTGTATAGCTTTGCTTCTTTCTGAGCGAGGTAGGTAATAGAACTCCACTATAATTATAGATACTGTAATGAGTTATAAGACCCATATGCTAATATTCACAAGCAGTCAGATGATACCGTGTTTAACCCTGCAGCTGTTTCAGAAAATAGGCCATTTTTTTCTGTTTTTGGGTTTTGTTTTGTAATCATTATGTTTAAAATATCTCATTGTTATATGTGTGTATTCTAATCCACGCATATGTGTTTTATCGTATCTCTGCCCAAAAATCTAAAAGGATACACACTTAGAATTTAATAATGTTTATCTCTGGGAGACAGAATTATGTTAGTTGAAATGTTGTGGGCCAAAAAACAGGACCAGCGGTGTCTTCAGCTACAGCTATGAAACATTAACATAGCACAACAGAATCAGACCATCCGCCCTCTCAGTGTAGACCCCAGCTTGGTCAGTCCTTTGTTCTGCTGTCCCCAGGATCGGCTTTTCGTCCTTTAGTTAATGGTTTGATGACTCCAAGATTTGACTCTAGTTCAAGGCTTCATGCTGGGCTCAGAATGGGAAAAGAGAGAAGGGGGTAGAGCCTAAATGAATGTAGGTCACTGTATGCTTTAAAAAGTGATTTTTTAAAAGAATTATTTATTTAATTTTATTTATTCATTTATTTTTAATTTGACAGAGAGAAGGAGAGCAAGGGAAAGGGAGAAAGCAAGCCACCAGGTCTGGGACTTGAACTGTGGTCAGCCATGTGGGTGTGTCCAGTGCCTTAACCACCACACCACTTGCTGGTCCCCAAAAAGTGATTTTTGTAGGTGCCACTTCTGAGGGCTGAGCTGTGTTCTCTTCTCACTCTGAAGTTCAGCTGATGGCCATCCCATTCCTCCTGCAGGTCTCCAACCATCCGAGACATGGTGATTCGCTGCATTGCCCAGATGGTGAATTCCCAGGCAGCCAATATCCGCTCCGGCATGCTTTAAAAAGTGATTTTTTAAAAGAATTATTTATTTAATTTTATTTATTCATTTATTTTTAATTTGACAGAGAGAAGGAGAGCAAGGGAAAGGGAGAAAGCAAGCCACCAGGTCTGGGACTTGAACTGTGGTCAGCCATGTGGGTGTGTCCAGTGCCTTAACCACCACACCACTTGCTGGTCCCCAAAAAGTGATTTTTGTAGGTGCCACTTCTGAGGGCTGAGCTGTGTTCTCTTCTCACTCTGAAGTTCAGCTGATGGCCATCCCATTCCTCCTGCAGGTCTCCAACCATCCGAGACATGGTGATTCGCTGCATTGCCCAGATGGTGAATTCCCAGGCAGCCAATATCCGCTCAGGCTGGAAGAACATCTTTGCTGTGTTCCACCAGGCAGCCTCTGACCATGATGGGAACATCGTGGAGCTGGCCTTTCAGACCACGGGCCACATTGTCAGTAAGTGCCTCCATTCCCTCTAGACTAATGGCCCATTGCAAGTCTGGACAGGAACCACTTACGGTTTCACTACCTGTAGTGGCTTCCTTACCTTAGCTCTGCGGCAATATCACACATGCCAGGGGTGTCCCCAGACCCAGCACATGTTAATCCTCACAGTAGCCCTATGAGACAAACATAGTTGATCCTCCTTATTAGCAGATTTTCTAGCTGCGAATCCATCTACTCATTAAAATGTGTGTAGCTCTAAAACCAGTACTCGTGTTTTCGTGGTGGTTTGCCAACGCCTGAATGCACAGAGCAGCGGAAAACTTGGGTTGCCCAAGCGCACATTCCCAGCTGAGGTGAAACCAGGTGACATCGCCTTCTTGTTTCACTCTCATACCATAAACAAGTGTCCATGCTGCAGCCTGTTGAGTGCCAGGTCTTTCATGTGTTTGTTGGTGATTTTGTTTAAAATGGCCCTGAGCATAGTGCTGAGGGCTGGCTAGCATTCCTACGAGAAAATGCTTATTAGATGTGTTGTTGGCTGAATTCGATTCAGTGAATCCATAGGATGTGTTAAAGAATGTGTTTTTAGCAGAAACACACCCAGGATTATGGTTTTATTTAAAAGAATTATTTATTTATTTAATTCTACTTGTTGTTATTTCTTAAGTTGACTAGAGAGAGGCAGAGAGAAAGGGAAAGCGAGAAAGTAAGCCACCAGGTCCAGGACTTGAACCACAGTCAACCATGTAGGATTCCAGTGCCTTTAACACCACATCACCTGCTGACCCCCCAAGATTATGTATTGATCAGTTGATGAAAATGGGTCCTGGAATTCACAGGAACCTAACTCCAAATTTCCACCAGGAGCGATGGTTTATTCTTTAATTCAGTGTTCACAGCATCTTTATAGGATGAAACTGCTATGGACGATGGGAACGGACTATGGTTTCCCTCATTTTACTGAAGAGAATACTGAGGCACAGAAAAGTAAAGCCACATAGTCAGGAAGTGGTAGAGCCAAAATTTACACTCCCAGTCCAGCCCTGAGCGAGTTCAGTATCCCTCCACTGGGCCTTTTGGGGTTCCTGGTCCAGCCTGTGACCACAGACCAGGATGTCTACTTGGGTTCCATGGAAGTTATAATCATGGAGTCATCTTTGAATGTAGTTGGCACTTAATATTTCTTGAGTGAATGGATATTTGGACCTTTACCTTACTGCTTGAGCTCAGGAAATTCGTTTAGCCCCACCTGTACTCAAATACATTCATTCCTGAATAACATAATAAGAAAAGCTGAGTTCCAGAGATACATGTTTCTCTTAGATTTCCACAGAGGTCATTGTCTCCAACCTGTATGTGTGGGTGTGTACTTGTTTAATCCTCATTTCTAAATCCTGGTCTCATAAAAAATACATCTCACTCCATAGCAAATTATTTTATTTTATTTTTAAAAAGCACAGTGTTTTAAAAACAAATGTGCCTTGTGTTTCCCCAGCAACAATTTTCCAGCACCACTTCCCTGCAGCCATCGATTCCTTCCAGGATGCTGTGAAGTGCTTGTCGGAGTTTGCCTGCAATGCTGCCTTCCCAGACACCAGCATGGAAGCTATCCGCCTCATCCGCTTCTGTGGGAAATACGTCTCGGAGAGGCCTCGGGTACCTTCATCCTCTCCTCATTCACGGGCAGTGAGCAGGGCAAAAACCCTTGCTCCTGGCAGAGAGCTTACCAGTCTTTTGGAAATGCGTATTTGCCCTACTCTAAGTGTTTATTTCAAAATGCTGCCATTGCACGTGTTAATACCTTTCATTATTTTATATATATATATATATATATATGGGATTATTTTATTCCTACTGAACTCTTATACAGTATTCTACAAATTGGCTTTGAAGAATATAATAGTATTCTAGCTTTTATATTTTGGCAAAGCTCAAGAAGCTACATCTTGGGCCAGCAGATGGCATGGAGGTTAAGGCAGCTGTATCCAACATGGTCAGTTGCATGATTCAAGTCCCGGACCTAGCAGTTTGAAAAACACACCAGGTGCTTGTGTGTGCATGCCCAGAACCCTACGGAGAATGGAGGAGAAGGGATTGTGATATGGCTATCGTCCCTGAGGGGTGATTTCTCCCTTTCTTTCTCTCTCACTCAGTCTCTCTCTGGACAGTACACATGCCCTATAGCAAAAACTTAAAAAAAAAAAAAAAGAAGAAGAAGAAGAAGAAGAAGAAATAGCAGCAGCAGCAGCTAGAACTTTCTATTTGAAAGAAAACAAGTTCTCCCATTTAGGAAGCAAAATATGCCATTGTGATATGGCTAAAAAATCATTCTTAATAATTATCTTTTGTTTTCTCCTGAAAATGGAGGATTTCTATTATGTCATTTTGTGTGTGTGTGTGTGAGAGTTTTTTTTGCTATAGGGCGCATGCGCTCGCCAGACAGAGAGAGACAGAAAGCGAGAAATCACCCCCCCAGGGGGGATGGTCACACCACAATCCCTTCGCCTCCATTCTCCTCTCGGGATCTTGGGCATGAACGCACATGCGCCTGGCGTGAGTTTTAAGCCAGTGGGTCCAGGACACGAACCACGGTCAACTACATGGGAGTCCAGCGACATAGCCATTACACTAACTGCTGGTTCCCTCTGTTATGTCTTACTGTCTAATGAGGCCTGCTCACTTAAATGACAGAATCTCAAAATGCCCAGATTGCGTGGAAACAAACACATTGAAACTATAATGGCCTATACAGATCTTTTCCTAAATTCTTTGGAGATCTGTAAACCTCTAAGATTATATGTCTTGTCTCTACAACAGCTCGTTAAGATGTGACAGTAGAGCCATCCTCTGGTGTGGGGGTTAAGGCCTCTGGATCCCACATGAGTGACTGCCTGTTTGAGCCCGGGTCCTGGTGGCTTGAGAAACACATCACTTGCATGTCCATGCAGGTCCACAATCCTAAAAGGAAAGAGAACTGGAGAAGGGATTGCACTGTGACCATGTCCCATGGGGTGCTTTCTTTCGTTCCTCTGTCTCTCTTTGGCAAAGTGCACACTCCCTTTATTAACAGTGACAACGAAAAAGATGTGCTGGGCTGGCAGGTGGCGTGGTGCTTAAGGTGCTGAATCCCACATGGCTGACAGTGCATTTCAGGTCTTAGACCTAGTGGCTTGAAAAAGACACTGCATACGTATGCATGTGGCCCCAAATCCCAAGGAGAATGGAAGAGAGTAGATTATGGCATGGTCATTCCCTCTAAGGAGTATTTTCTTACTTTCCCTGTCTCTCTGTCTTCCCAATGACCAACAGTAAATTTAAAACAACAACAAAAAAAAGTGATGATAATGACAGTCAATGTTGATTTAGCACTTAGTATCAGATATCGTTGTAGGTATTTTCTGTGTGCAGATTCATTTAATCCCCGTATCAGGTAATTGCAGGAGGGTTAACTAAAGTACAGGGGAAAATTGCTTACAGGTAGATAACCAGAATTGATGAAGAAATTCTGTACCAGTGGGTACAGAGCAGAGGTCAGAATTACTGAGATAGGACAGAGTAGGGCTTCACATCCAGACTCTGAAGACTGCCATCTCCTGACCACATGACCTTGGGCAGCTTACTTGAGCCTTTCCTGTCTCACTTTACTTATGTGTAAAATGGGAACATTGTTTCTGTGTGCCTCTTGGGATTTTTGTGAGAACAGATAATCCATATAAAGAGGTCCCTGATCCATAGCAAGCACTCAGTAAATAGTGGTGGCAAGTGATGGTACCGTTTTTATTTTTAAATAGTATGTATTACAATAGCATTCTGAAAAGACCTAAGGCATTGAATCATATGGATATTTTGCTAACAGCATTGACCTTTTGGTGCTCTTGTTAATGTGACACCGCCTGCTACCTGGGCTCCTGTGGTCTGCCCTATTCAACTTCTAAAACCCACAGGGACAAATGTCTCTGTCTCTGATTCCCCTCTGTACCCTTACTGAATGGATAATTGTAGGAGGGGTTGGGTGAGGTCTTAATCCATACAGTTTCCTTGCTGTTCCTTCCTTTCGCTCGCTTAGTCTGCCTCTAAGATAGAACTTTCCTTCTAGGTGCTACAAGAATACACAAGTGATGACATGAATGTAGCTCCTGGTGACAGAGTCTGGGTCCGAGGCTGGTTCCCCATCCTGTTTGAGCTCTCCTGCATCATTAATAGATGCAAGTTGGATGTACGGACAAGGTAATAATCATGCCACCAGTGCAGTGGCCTTTCACGTCACTGAAATGAGCCTCAGGCACTGGCTCACCTAATCTGGTGCTCTCCCGCCCCTGACCATTCTCTCTTCCATGCCTGGCTTTATATCCCACAGAGGACTCACAGTCATGTTTGAGATCATGAAGAGCTATGGCCACACCTTCGAGAAGCACTGGTGGCAGGACCTGTTCAGAATCGTGTTTCGGATTTTTGACAACATGAAGCTCCCTGAACAGCAGTCAGAGGTGAGTGATGACCATATAGCACTGCCTTGAGGTGTGGGGAGGGAAGACTGGCCTCTTTCTGGCTCTGGAGGTTGTGTCAGCATCCACCCAGAGGTCTAAGTTACTTAAGGTTTTAAAAATGAACTCCCAGGACCAACAGATGGCTTAATGGCTACGTCGCTGGACTCCCATGTAGTTGACTGCAGTTCAAGTCCCGAACCTGGTGGCTTAAATTCACACTGGGCATGTGTGTATGTGTGCCCAAGATCCCAAGAGGAGAATGGAGGAGAAGGGATTGTAGTATGGCTATCCTCCCTGGGGGGTGATTTCTATATATATATTCTGTCATGTGGATATACTCAATATAATGCCCACATTGCTGGGCATTAGTTTGTATCTGCGTTTTCTATCTTAAGTGCCGTTGTTATAAACATCTTTATTCACAAACCTTAGCCCACAAATCTTAGATTATTTCTTTAGGGTCAGTTTCTGGAAGAGGTGTTAATAAGTCAATGGATGTGAACATTTTTATGACTGTTGATAAATACTATCAAATTCCTTTTCAGAATAGTTTTACCGGTAGTTTAAAAGCATACCCACTGCATTGGAGGGAAAGTGGTTTTTCAATGTTATCTTTTTGTTGTTTTCCCAGAAATCTGAGTGGATGACAACAACTTGCAATCATGCACTTTATGCCATCTGTGATGTGTTTACCCAATTTTATGAAGCTTTGAATGAAGTTCTTCTTTCTGATGTATTTGCCCAATTGCAGTGGTGTGTAAAACAAGGTATTTTCTTAAGCCTCTAGGCATGACTTTTCTTACATAGTTCTTAACGAGAGGTTAATTCTTTAAAGTATATAAAAGCATGGATTAACACAAGAAGTACAATGTATAATTTAATTAGCAAAAACGTGTATTTTTAATGAAATTAGAGGATAGAGTCAGTTTGGGTCAAAACATAGCATGGGTTAAGGTCCTGGATCTCGGGACCAGCAGATGGCATAATGGTTATATCACTGGACTCCTATGTAGTCAACCACAGTTCGAGTCCCAGACCCTGCAGCTTCAACTCACACCAGGGGGATGTGTGTGTGTGCCCAAGATCCTGAGAGGAGAATGGAGGAGAAGGGATTGCAGCATGGGCATCCTCTCCAGGGGGTGATTTCTTATTTTCTGTTTCTCTGCCTCTCCGTTGAGCACACACGCCCTATATAGCAGAAATCTCTCTTTAAAAAAAAAAAAAATGATGCTCAACCCCATGTGGCCAACTCCATGGTTCGTGAGTCTGGGCCCAGTGGTTTGAAAATCACACCAGGCACATGTGATGCATGCCCAGAATTCCAACATGAGAACCGGAGAGAAGGGATTGCTGCTATCTACCCCCAGGGGGGCGGTGATTTCTCACTTTCCCTATCTCTGTACCACTCAGTCTGTCTCTCACAAGCCCACATGCCTTAGGACAAGAAAAGAAAAGAATATAAAGTCAGTTTAAAAATTATTTCTTTAAGATGGGATGAAGTTATTTTCGTATTTTAAAATGTATGTTGTACACAATACTATTCTTATTGCTTTTGTGTATATCTAAAATTTTCTAGAGTAAAATGTTTTTTAAGTATACTGTTGGATTCAAGACCAACAGCTTCATTAATGGCTTTTTGTTTTAATGCCTGGGTCTTTATTTTAGTATGTACTGGGGAAAACCCAGCTAGCACATCAGTTCCAGATTCCATAGATAATTCTGGCTTAGGGCAGGCAAAGTTTAGTCAAGTTTTTCAAAAAATGATTCAGTTTGAAAATAAATGACAAAAGTCAATATTGTTTAGATAGCAAAATTAAAATGTAGCGGGGCCAGCAGGTGACATGGTGGTTAAGGGCACTGGACTCCCACAAGGCTGACCGTTGTTTGAGTCTCGGACCTGATGGCTTGCTTTCTCACTTTCTCTTTTTCTTTCTCACTCTGTCCCTCTCTGGTCAAATTAAAATAAGTAAATAAAGTTAAATAAAAATTTATTTTAAAAATTAGAGTGTAGCAGTTTAGTATATTTTTAGAGATTATGGTCAAATTCAATTTTTCATTGTCTTTTCCCATTTCTCATACGTAAGCCAGTTTAATTACCTAAATATTGACCTTCTTTCATCCCTAGCAATAAAACTATGATAAATAATTTCACCTCTTTGTAGCCCACTTAAACCATAAAAATCATTATGCATTGCTTCATTACTTAAAAACCTACAAACCTACCAATTGCAGTATCCACTTCACAATATAAAGCATCTGGGACCTGGTTGACATCAAAACAGCAGTGGAAGTTTAATGATTATATTGCTTTACTTTACAGATAATGAACAGCTGGCTCGATCAGGTACAAATTGCTTAGAAAATTTAGTAATATCCAATGGAGAGAAATTCAGTCCCGATGTCTGGGATGAAACGTGCAACTGCATGTTGGACATTTTCAAAACAACCATCCCTCACGTGTAAGTGTTAATGCATTTGTTACTGCTCATTTTGATCATTAGTGGCTATCTTAAAGTTTCCGCATTGATCATTTTCTTTCTCTTCCATTCCCTAAGTTTGCTGACATGGAGACCCGTAGGATTGGAGGAAGATTCATCAGAAAAGCATTTGGTAGGTTTTTTTTTCTTTTGGTTATCTCCTTATACTTTAGTAAAAGATGAATCAGCCTCTGCAGTTTGTACTTTTTTGATAGGAAGTAAGTAAGAAAGTATGTAAAATCTGGGGCAGCAGGAGGCATAATGGTCAACCATACGGTCTACCATGGTTTGCGTCCCAGACTCAGTGGCCTAAAACTCACACAGCCTTGTGTGCGTGTGTTCCCAAAATCCCGAGGGAGAATGGAAGAGGAGATGACGGCACAGCCATCCCCCCGGGGAGCGATTTCTCACTTTCTCTGTCTCTCAAACGAGCACATGTACCCTATAGCAAAAGTCTCTCTCTCAAAAAAAGTATATAAGATCTAAAACAATGTATGTTCATTAACGTATTTTTCTTTTCTTTTCTTTTCTTTGGAGAGGTTTTTGCTATAGAGCATGTGCACTTGCCAGAAAGACAGAGAGAGGACAGCCAGAAAGCGAGAAATCACCCCCTGGGGGGTTGGCCACGCCGCAATTCCTTCTTCTCCATTCTCCTTTTGGGATCTTGGGCACACATGCACATGAGCCCGGCGTGAGTTTAAGCCACTGGGTCCAGGACTTGAACCGTAGTCAACTACATGGGAGTCCAGAGACATAGCCATTATGCCAACTGCTGGTCCCTTATTAACATATGTTTTAGAGAGTATTTCTAGAAAATATATTTTTAGAGCTCCAGCACAGGGAGCTCCCTTAGTCTGCGTGAGTCTTAGGAATCCTCTTTCCCAGACTTTGTTTCATTCCTGCAGTCAAGTAGTGTTCGTTGCACAAAGCATGCACAATCACACAAGACTATATATTTCATTTATAAATTTGTACTTTATTGTGTACCCGTTGTATCTAGAATAAATAAAAATGATTATGCCAGATTTATATTACTGTATCGTGGTGTGTCCTGTCACATTCTGGCACTTATCTAGTGTATGCTTTTTGTTTAGATAGAATTACATTATTCTGTTAGGTTGTCGGAAAAGTCACGATGTATTTTTCTATGTCTTTTCTATGCAAAAATGCATCTTGACTTTCCTGACAACCCAATAGTATGATGTCATGTATTACCTTTAGAAAAATACTGGGTTGTCAGAAATGTCATGGCAGGTAGGTACATCTCTGCCCAGGTGCCAAATAATGGTTGAAGCACCATGAGTCTTGTATCTCTTTGGTTTACTTTTAGGATGTGGATCTGGACCGCCAGTCTTTAAGCAGCATGGATAAAAATGCCTCTGAGAGAGGCCAAAGCCAGCTCTCTAATCCAACGGATGACAGCTGGAAGGGTAGACCATATGCAAGTAAGACTACTTTTTAATTTTGGATTGTTTTTATTTATTCATTTAAAATAGGTAACATATTGAGGGGGCCGGCAGGTGGCATGGTGGTTAAAGGCACTGGATTCCCAGATGGCCGACCACAGTTTGAGTCCTGGACCTAGTGGCTTGCTTTCTTGCTTTCCCTTTCTCCCTATCTGTTTCCGGTCAGATAATAATAATAATAATAATGGAATTAAATAAATAAATAAAATAGACAACACATTGACATAGCTCAAATACTCAGAAGGCACAAAAGCGTAAACACATTAATAATAAGCCTACAGGACCAGCAGTTGGCCTAATGGCTATGTTGCTGGACTCCTGTGTAGTTGACTGCAGTTCCAGTCCTAGACCCGGTGGATTAAACTCACACCAGGCATGTGTACATGTGTGCCCAAGATCCCCAGAGGCGAATGGAGAAGGGATTGCAGTGTGGCCATCCCCCCCGGGGGGGGGGTAATTTCTCACTTTCTGTCTCTCCGTCTCTCTCTGTCTTTCTGGTAAGTGCATGCATCCTATAGCAAAAACCTCTCCAAAAAAAATAAATAAATAAAATAATAAGCCTGCTTCTTCCTCTACCTTTGTTTTCCTGCTCTCTCCCCATGGCAGCCAGTCTTCTGGTTTCTCATGTACCATTCCACAGTCATTTTATCCATAGGCAAGTAAATACATGCACTTATACCCAGGTTCCTCACAAAGTTTATGCAAAATACATATTATGAAAAACTTAGGCTTTTCTATATATGTTCTATATATTTTGCACCAAATTAAAATTGTACTTTAGTTCTATTTTTATTACAAACTTTTTGAAGTTCCCTCCTATGTCTACTTATTTGTATGTATGTGTATATGTATTTATATATATTATATATGCATTTTCCTCTAGTTAAACAAATTATATAGTACTGTGCATTTTTCCTTCTTTCTTCTTACTTTATATCTTAGAGATTATTCAAGAGTACATGGAGAGCTTTCACACTCTTTTTACCACTGTATGTTATCCTAATATGTAGGTGTACTTGTATTTGTTTAATTGGGTCTGTAGAGTGGACATTTATATCATTTCTAAGCGTTTGCTATTAGAAACAACACTGAATAAGCTAATATGTACGTCACTTGTGAGTTTATAGTAAATTCCTGGACATAGGATTGTGGTAAGTGCATTTGCCATTTTGACAGATATTTCCAGGTTACTGTTCATTAAGGTTATACCTGTTTTCATGATCTATGAAAACACATAGATGACATTTGGTATCTTAGATATAATTTTCATTTGCTGCTTTTTAGTTATTAGTGAAATTGAGCACTATGATAATGTTTTACCATCTGCCATTTTTAAGAATAGGTTTAGGGTCACCTGATGGTGTGGTAGTTAAGGTGGCTGGAATCCACATGGCTGGCTGCATGGTTTGAGTTCCAGACCCTGCAGCTTGAAAAACAGTCTGAGCACACATGTGTGCATGCCCAAAATTCCTCTAGGAAAATGGAGGAGAAGGGATTGCAGCATGGTCATCCTGCCCCTGGTGGGGGGGTGGGGAGGTGTAGGCATTCTCTGTCTCTCTCCAGCAAACACACACACTCTATAGCAAAATTAGTGTATATGTGTGTGTGCGTGTGCATGCATGCGTGCACATATGTGTGTGTTTTAGCAATCATAATGTGCTAGGTGCTGTACTGTGTTTCATGTGTGCAATCTCATTTAATTTTTACACTAGCCTTTAAAGAGGTACTGTTTTACATTTGAGTGAACTCAGGTTTAAACAGATGATATGACTTGTTTACAGGAATAAAGTTAGGATTCAGACACACTTTTTTTTTTAAGAATTTTTTATTTTATTTATTAGCAGTTTTCTTCAATTTGATCAGAGAGAAAGAGAAGCAAAGTGAGAAAGCTAGCTGCCAGGTCTAGGACTCAAACTGTGATCCTCCATGTGGGAGTCCAGCATCTCTACTACCACACCACTTGCTAGCCCCTCAGGCACACTTTGACTGAGAAACTAAAACTTCTTTTTTCTTTGGAGAGGTTTTTGCTATAGGGCACGGGCACTTGCCCTAAGCCCCTGGGATTGAGACCACAAAATGGATGAAGTCAGAGTCTAGTCAGTCGACAGAAACGGCACTACTGAATTGAACAAGAAAATTCAGCGTAAAGAATATTTAACTGGTCGAAGGTTGCTGACCACTGAACGGGATAAAAGAGTGCTCTGAAGAGTATAGAGGATGGGAGACCAGCAGTTAGCGTAATGGCTATGTCGCTGGACTCCCATGTAGTCGACTGTGGTTCGCATCCTGGACCCGGTGGCTTAAAACTCACGCCGGGCGCATGTGCGTGCGTGCCCAAGATCCTGAGAGGAAAATGGAGGAGAAGGGATTGCGGCGTGGCCATCTCCCCTGGGGGATGATTTCTCACTTTCTGTCTCTCTGTCTCTGTCTGGCGAGCACACGCGCCCTATGGCAAAAACCTCTCACAAAAAAAAAAAAAAAAAGAGTATAGAGGATGGAAATGGAGAAAGCTTCTCTGTGCCCATCTAGAGCTGCAAAGCTGGCCTGTTCGGAGATCCTGGCTACCATAGGAACCAGAAACCCTTGTGGTTAGGACACAGTTTGGAGCTGGGCTGTAAGAGACCCTTTAAGGGACAAGGAAGCTATGCATCTGCTTCCTTCACCTTCTTCCTGCTTCAGGTCTTCCTTAGTTCTCACATTTTTAGAGCGACCCCTCCTGACCACTTTAAACTTGCAAGCTATCCTGCATAATTCTGTTTACCACTTGACATACTGTATTTTATACTTAAATATCTTATTTATTGTCTGTCAGCGCCATGGGAGCAGGAACTTTTTGTCCACTTTATTCATTGCTATGCTACAGCATCAAGAATCACGCCTGGCACTTAGTAGGACATCAGTGAATATTTACACAGTGTTGGTTGAATTATTATTAGGGGCTAATCTTTGTCATCTAATACAGATCAGAAACTGTTTGCCAGCCTCCTCATCAAGTGTGTGGTCCAGCTGGAACTGATACAGACCATCGACAACATCGTGTTCTACCCGGCGACAAGCAAAAAGGAGGATGCAGAGCACATGGTTGCTGCCCAGGTAACAGCAGCAGGCCTCAAAGGCACCCGTGCCATTGAAGGATCACTCGGGATCAGTGGCCTGCTGGAGCCAGCTCATCTGGGCTTCCTGGGCCTGATAGTCTCAGCTTTCCCAGCCCTGCATTCGGCCATGGCTCATGGTTGGCTTTGGTGGGAGTTATTTACACACAGAAATCAGCAAACAGGAAAAATAAGGGTTTCTTGTTTTTATTCTCCAGAGAGCTGGTTATCAGCTTGCCAGTGCTCAACATCCCTTACCTTGATACTTCACAAAAAGTGTTACTTGTCGTCATAATTGATGCACATTAACCATAAATAACCTAGAGGGGCCCAGCCATAGGGGACTGTGCTGCTAAAAGACTGTATTGTACAGGCAGAGGCCACATGGAGATCTGGGTTCATGCCTAGCCAGTCGTTTTTGTTTTTGTTTTTTAAAGAATTATTGATTGATTTAAAATAATTATTTTAAAGAATTATTTATTGATTTCATTCTGTTTGTTATTATTTTTTAATTTGACCAGAGAGAGAGAGAGAGAGAGAGAAAGGGAAAGGGAAAGTGAAAAAGCAAGCTGCCAGGTCCCGGACTTGAACTGTGGTCGGCTGTGTGGGAGTCCAGTGCCTTAAGCACCATGAATTCAGTGCATTGCCAAGTGTGGGACTTGAACTGTTGTCAGCCATGTGGGAATTCAGTGCCCTTAACCACCATGCCACCTGCTGACCCCCACAGCCAGTTTTAAAAGACAAACATGGTAGCACACATCTGTAGTCCCAGATACTCAGGAGTCAGAGGCAAGAGAATCAGGACAACGTGAGACCCTGTGTTAAAAATAAAAATACAGGGGACCAGCAGTTAGCGTAATGGCTATGTCGCTGGACTCCCATGTAGCCAACTGCAGTTTGAGTCCCAGACTTGGTGGCTTAAACTCACGCCAGGTGCGTGTGCATGCATGCCCAAGATCCCGAGAGGGGAATGGAGGAGAAGGGATTGCGGCGTGGCCATTCCCCCCTGGGGGGTGATTTCTTGCATTCTGTCTGTCTGTCTCTGTCTTTCTGTCGAGCGCACGTGCCCTATAGCAATAAATAAATAAATAAAAATACAGGACCTCAGGGCCACCAGGTGGCAGGCAGAATGGTTAAAGGCACTGGACTCCCACTTGGCCGACTGGTTCAAGTCCCAGATCTGGTGGCTTGCTTTCCCCCTTTCCCTTTCTTTCTCTCTCTGTCTCTTTCTGGTCAAATTTAAAAAAATAACAATAACAGATAGAATTAAATAAATAATTCCCTTTTTTTTAAATGAAAAAAAAATACAGGGTCAGACGATGGCAGCACTAACACAACTGAAACTGGCCATCAGAGCCACTGTCGTGCAGCAGGTCAGTACAGCCCGTCACCAACCAGTGAGCAAAGTCTTAAGTGGAAGGAGTTCAGGGCCCTGAAGAATGAAGAACCTTGTATAGAGAAGCCGACTTTTGGAGAGTCATGATGGCCTTTGCTGTCACAGTGGCCAGGCTGATGCATCTTTTTCTCACTTAGCTGTCCTGTCTTCTCTCCTCTAGCAAGACACACTAGATGCAGATATCCACATCGAGACGGAGGATCAGGGCATGTATAAGTACATGTCTTCCCGGCACCTCTTCAAGCTGTTGGACTGCTTGCAAGAGTCCCACTCATTTTCAAAGGCCTTCAATTCCAATTATGAGCAGCGGACTGTCCTGTGGAGAGCAGGTAGGGCCATGCAGCAGAGAGCATCAGCAGCCACGCTGGTCATCGCCCTGAAACATTAACGACTTTCAGAAATTCCTGTTATTTAATCAGCTGGGATAACTTAACAGATAGTTTCATGCCTGTGTGTGGGTACTGGGAAATACTGGGTATTTCCCAGCACCAGGAACACTGTCTGGTACATGGTAGATTCTCAGTAAGTATTTGATGCACAGACAAACCGGAAGTAGGAGATTTGGTCCAGCAAATCAAGAAGTTTTACATTATATTAAAAGTGTAGTATTTTAGGAAAAATTGAAGGAGAAATTGGGGCCAGCAGGTGGCGTGGGGGTTAGGGGCACTGGATTCCCACCTGGCTGCCTGTGGTTTAGGTTCCAGACCTGGTGGCTTGCTTTCTGTCTGTCTGTCTGTCTCTCTCTCTCTCTTTCACTCTGTCCCTCTATGGTCAAATTAAAAAGTAAATAAATAACTAAAGTTAAATAAGTCTTTTATAAAAAAAAAGGAAAGAGGGACCAGCAGTTAGTGTAATGGCTATGTCACTGGACTCCCATGTAGTCGACTGTGGTTTGCGTCCCGGACCTGGTGGCTTAAAACTCACGCCAGGCACGTGTCTATGCGTGCCCATGACCCCGAGAGGAGAATGGAGGAGAAGGGATTGCGGCATGGCCATTCCCCCTGGGGGGTGATTTCTTGCTTTCTGTCTCTCTGTCTCTGTCTGTCTGGCTAGCGCACACGCCTTATAGCAAAAAAAATAAAAGAGAAAGTGTGGTATTCTAGGAGAAATGGAAAGCATTCATACTTTCTCTGAGACTCTTAGGGGTTCTCTTTTTCCTGCCTTCAAAAATAAATGTAAATCCTGGGACCAGCAGTTAGCGTAATGGCTATGTTGCTGGACTCCCACATAGTCGACTGCGGTTCATGTCCCGGACCCAGGAGCTTAAAATTCACACCGGGCGCGTGTGCGTGCGTGCCCAAGATCCCGAGAGGAGAATGGAGGAGAAGGGATTGCGGCGTGGCCATCCCCCCTGGGGGGTGATTTCTTGCTTTCTGTCTCTCTGTCTCTGTCTGTCTGGCGAGCGCATGCGCCCTATAGCAAAAACCTCTCCAAAAAAAAAAATTTTAGATAGATAGATAGATAGATGGATGGATGATACATATATATAGGCCAGCAAGTAGTATGGTGGTGAAGATAGCTGGATCTCACATGGCTGACTGCATGCACCATCTAGTCCTGGACCCAATGACTTGAAAAACATGCTGGCTCATCTGTTTACGTACCCAAAATCCTGAGAGGAGAATGGAGAAGAAAGGATTGTGGCATGACCAATCCCCCTGGGGGGTGCTTTCTTTTCCTAAAATAATTAGATTACTAGTTCTCACATGATTTCTCAGCATCTTACAAATGTGCACAATTTATGTGACTATCTCTGATCTTTAGGTTTTAAGGGCAAGTCTAAACCCAATCTTTTAAAACAAGAAACCAGCAGCCTGGCCTGTTGTTTGAGAATCCTGTTTCGAATGTATGTCGATGAGAACCGCAGGGATTCCTGGGAAGAAATACAGCAGCGGCTTCTAATGTAAGAAAATTGGCTTCTAATTAAATTGTATATCTTTCATATAAAAAGCACATCACCATAGTACTGTGAATTGAAAAGAGTAGGAGAAAAAGCCCACAGGCTGACACTCGCACAAACTGTTTTCCTTTTTGTTTTCCCTCTGTTTGGTGACTCTTGCCGTTCCCTTTTTTCAGTTCCCTTATGAGGACAGGGCCTCATCTGTTTCACTCATCAGTCCTCTTTAAGACACAGAAACTTGGGTAGTGGAAAGTGCTCTGGCCTCAGAATCAGCAGACTAGAGCTCGGGGAGTCCTTACTCTAGCCCAGGCCCTTGCCTTGGCAGGTCATTGTCCCTCTTGACATTAGGTCCATTTTAGAGTTGTCAGCTCTGAAGTACCCATCATTCCTTCTTTCTCAGAAGTATAAAATGTGGAAACCAGAATATACCCACGTTGATTATGCAGAAATGTACCAGTGGGGATACAGTGGTACATCAGTGAGAAAGCCTCAGACAGAAAAGTAGATCTTTGCCACTCAGCTTCCTGTGCTTCCTCTCACTCCTTTAAGATTTAAAACAAGGGGCACCAGCAGCTGGTGTAATGGCTATGTCGCTGGACTCCCATGTAGTCGACCACGGTTCGAGTCCTGGACCCGGTGGCTTAAACTCAAACCGGACACATGTGCGTGTGTAGCCAAGATTCTGAGAGGAGAATGGAGGAGGAGGGATTGCAGCATGGCCATCCCTCCTGAGGAGGGGTTTCTCGCTTTCTGTCTCTCTGTCTCTCAATGTCTTTCTGGCGAGTGCACACGCCCTATAGCAAAAACCTCTCCAAAAGAAAAAGGATTTAAAACAAATATGCAGTGTTTACAACTTTGTGAAAAGACACACATCCTTCTTTAGGGCTGTGGGCAGGAGTGTAAAATGACATGATCTCTGGAAAGCAGGTGGGATTATATGCCAGGAGATTTCAAACACTCATTGTCTTTGACTCAGTAATTCCATCATTTCAGAACCTACTTCAGAAAGTATTTCAGAAATAGCAACCAGGGGCCAGCAGGCGGTGTGGTGGTTAAGGGCACTGGACTGCCACCTGGCCAACCACAGTTCAAGTCCAGGACCTGGCGCCTTGCTTTCTCACTCTCCCGCCCCCCCACCCCGCCCCGATCTCTCTCACTCAGTCACTCACACTCTCACTCTCTGGTAAAATTAAAATAAATAAAATTCAATAAACTAATTCTTTAAAAAAAAGAGAGAGAGAGAGAAGAAATAGCAGCCAGGATTCCCACACAGAATATTTAATACAGATCTGGCTTATAAAGAGAAAAAAGTTTAAACAGCTCAGCTGTGGAATGGATAACTGAATTATGGTATATCTTATGTTGGAATACTTACTGTCATTAAAAATGAAGTTTTCTGTTGTTTATGATAGAAAGCACTTGCACCCACAGTTAAGAGAAAACGCCCCTGACAGGGACTTGTGACACCATGATCCCACTTGCTCATCCTTTAGCCCTTCAGGATCCTGGGCACCCACAGACATGCCCAGCATGTTTTCAGGGTGACTAGGAATTTAAGCCACTGTTGGCATATGACTTCCAGCTTTGTGGGGCACCTGTGTTAACTGCTGTGCCACATCAGCTGGACCAAAAATGAACTGTAAAAAATAATTTTCCTTGCTATGAGAACATGCTCGTAATAAATTTCACCCACAAAACACAAGGTGCAATATACAGTAATTTTTTAAAAAACTCAGAAAAAAACTGAAAGGAAATATCCCTAACTATTGTCGTTTTTGTCCCTTGGATGGAAGATGGGATTTTTTTTTCTCCTCTATAATTTTATCCACTTTCCAGTTCTCTTACAGTGAGAAATTTCTGTCATATGCTAAAGAAAACAATAAATTATTAACTAAAGGAGGTATGAATAGCTCATTTCAACTTAAGCCCAAAAGAAAAGGACTTTGTAGTCTTATAAGGTTTTTCCTAAAAAGATACATAATTGTTAAATTTTTAAAAAGAAAAAATTATATATGTTTATGAGGAAAAAGCAGTGGTTACATAATTAACCACAAATAATAAAATTTTCTTGTACTTACTGTATTACACACATGGAGCCCAGCCCTAGCCATGTGCCAGGCCTGAGCTGAACTGTCGTTTAACATATTCCACTTAGTCCTTACTTGCAGCCCCTTGAATTTGGTACAGTTATTTATATGCATTTTACAGCCAGAAAAAAACAGGCTCAGTGACTTGCCCAAGACGGCACACACAGCCAGAGCAAGCGTTCAGTCAGTGGTCATTACGGGAATAGAGGCTCTCTGCCGAATAGGTGATGTGTATCAACTGTCTGATGTGCCTCCCCCTCTGACTCTTCTAGTGTGTGCAGTGAAGCTCTGGCGTATTTCATCACAGTGAATTCTGAAAGCCATCGGGAGGCCTGGACAAGTCTCCTGTTGTTACTTCTAACCAAAACCCTCAAAATAAATGATGAAAAGGTATAAACAAATAAACTCTGATCTGCCCTCTAGGATGTACGGTTTGGGTTGACTTTTCCCTCAAAGTGTGAGGTCACTGTTTTCTCAGTGATCCCGAGGATTATGTAACTAGCACACCATCCTCGCTGCACTGGAGAGAAGTAAGTTGATAACAATGGATGTCTTAGGATGTTAGGGCTTTTGCTCTGGAAGAGCACTACTGGGTCACTGGAAAAGTCATGACATATTTTTTCTCTTTTTCTATGCAAAGATATGTCATGACTTTTCTAATGACCCCAATAGTTTAGAAAGACTGAAGTTCAAACCTCGTGTGTTACCGTTAGGTCATTTTCGGTATGGGACGGGAAAGTTGAGATTGTGAAGTCCTGGTTTAGACCTAGGAACTTTACAGAATGAAAGACATACTGACTTTTGGTACCAAAGCATCCAAATAAAATAAAAAGAATTTAAATATAATTAAAAGAAACTTAAATTTGCAAGTTTTTTTACAACAGCTTTTTTAAAGAAAAACACCAGTATTTTAAGACATTCCAGGGTGAAATGAATGCTTTTTGAAAAACTATTGCTAGAAAAATAGTTTTATGTCTAATTCAATCTCTCTGCTTCTCTCCTACTTCAAGTTCAAAGCACATGCCTCAATGTACTACCCCTACTTGTGTGAGATTATGCAGTTTGACCTGATTCCTGAGCTCCGAGCCGTTCTTCGGAAGTTCTTCCTCCGGATAGGTGTTGTGTATAAAATATGGATTCCAGAGGAGCCATCACAGGTACCAGCAGCACTGTCACCAGTGTGGTAGCCCTGGCCCCACCGACCTCCGCTGTAGATCTACATTCATGATGCCATCTCTGACTGGCACATCTCGTGACAGGTCACCCCAAAGCAAGGAGTTGGCATCTTGGATTTCAGAATGGCCTACATAAGAATGGCCTCTATGCTGCCCCATCAAAGTCTCTGACGAAGGCTTGTGGTATTTTATTAAACTGTTGCATAGCCAGTTAACACAGGTGGAGAGTCTGTTCCTCTCTGTCATTCCATTTTACTGATTAAACTGTCAAATATGTCACTGCAAATGCCATTGTTTTCTACCAGAGTTTCATGGTTGGCTGTAAATGTTTTGTCAGAGGAAGTCACTCTCCTTGAAACACTGAATATAGCTGTATTAGGTTCGTGATTATTAGAGAGTATGTTAATAAAATTTCTTGTAATGGCTAAGTGCCACCTAAAATATGCTGGACTTTTTGTTGTTGATGTTGAGTTTGTTAGAGAAGTTTGAGTGTTTCTGTCAGTTCTGAGTCTGCTGTAGTTAGATTAGTTTGGTGAAAGGTAGGGAAAAGAAGAGCTGTTTTTGGTGTTTTATTAACATCTGAGTGATTTTTAAAGTATTTTACAAAAAGATGTTGAAGATTTGATTGAAGGCCGAGTTTAGTAATTAAGTTAGAATTAAGAGCTTGCAAGGTTAAAAAACAAATGTAGTGCCTCGTGGCTCTCCCTGTTTTAGAAACTTGGGGAGAAAAAGTCTAGGAAAAAGTAAACCATTTAATGAAGATGATTAGCTTTCCTCAAAGTAAGTATTTGTGGATGGGTATTAAGTTAAAATTTCCAGAATACATCATCCATCTCACAATTCTGAAACCTAATATATGAAGTAGTGATACAAATGAAGTAGTAATTTAACAGAGTTCATTTATCTTTGAGTCAGCTTTTATTTTTACCTCAGAAGAGTTGAGTGTGCTGATGATTAGTATTGCTGCTTTGCGCCGTCCCCATAAAGGGTCCTTGAGAGAGGGACAGGAATTGTGCACGGGAAGGGTTGCTCCTGTGAACCTCCGTGCCAGATGTCATAGGTGGAACCAGAGCTGTGACGGGGCCAGCAGCTAAACTATGACAGTGGCAGGAGGTGGCATGTGCCCAGCACTTCTGTTAACATGAGCCTCAGATTCTGGGGTCCTCATTATGTCGATGATGGTGCAATAATACTCTTGACTGCAGAGAATCGAATTCTGACGCAGCCCGTGTAAAAGCAGGCAGGTACAAGTCCTGGCTGAAGCCACAGCAGTGTACTGGAGGCTTAATGTAAGCTTAGTGTACTCCGAGTCCGCGGAGAGAGAACATGTGCTTCGTTCTCTGCCCTCAGCCACTGCTCTCCGAGAGCAGCACTGAGCGTTAGGAAAGCGTCAGTGTGAGGAAACAGACTTCTGCCTACACTCTTTAGTCTTGTAAACTGGGTTATATTGATGTCAACTCTGGTGCCTTAGAAGTTAGTCATTTGGGAACTTACCTGTAAAATAGGATATTTTTTCTTTCTAGAGAAGGATTTCTGGTGCTTTTGCTTGCTAAGAGACCAATTTTTTGGTTATAACAGACATGAGAAATGTTCGATTTTGGCCCGCAGTACTCTACTTTTTTCTTTCCCAAAAGGTGTTTTAATTTCTCTACCAAAGGGGAAAAAAAAAGCAACAGGTTTCGGTTTTCACATTATCGACATACATTTGTAAAGAGCTATATTAATTTAGCAGGAAGGCACTATGGGAGAATATTTTATGGCGAATGGAAAATGTTAGCACATTTGACTGACTGGCCCTGGAAACCATGACATCTCTGCAGTGTGCCCTGAAACTAATGTTCTGAGCTTTACTTTCTGATGTCGTGGCTCAGCACACCTCAACAAGCTGGTCATCTCCATGAACGTGTGAGCTGAAGATATACAAGGGGAGCACGTCTCCATGCACACACATCCCTGCTTGCTGATGTTCCCTTTCCTCTGAGGTCCTCGTGTGGATCTTCATCAGATGTGACGGCAAGACATTTTTTGTGTATTCCTGCTTTCTCTTTCATTTCTGCCTCTTGGAGGGTAGGAAATGTGGGCATTTTTATGATGTGCTGAAACAGTCAGGCCTGAGTTTCTTTTTAATTTTGTCTTTCAAAAGATTATTCTGAATGAGACATTTGAATTGTACCAGCCACGGACCTTGTAAAACCTGGATGTAAAACATTCCAGCTAGTTTTCCTTGTCGGTGGATGGTGACCGACAGAGGAAACCCTTTACCTCCGGTAATAAGCCATTCAGCCTGAATTGTTTTCTGTGACTAAATCTGTTCTTTCTCATGGTAATCACGGCTTATGCCACGCAAACACAGTGAGAAGGGTGTGCACAGCTCCAGCTCCGGCCCACAGCATCAGACCAGGACTCTATTCATTTATCAAAGTTTTGGGGGAGAGTGAAGCATTTTCCAAGGCCTTATTTCTTTCTCAGAATGCTTTAAGTGTTTATATGTGCTGGGTCTCTAGAGAAGTCTTTGTTAAATATTTGCTCTGAGCAATTTTGTTTTGCTCCATTGTCTGTTAGAGAAATCACCAGCTTTGGCATCTTAACAACAAACAGTGACTGGGAAGCATCATTTCTGATAAGCATCTTAGAGTCAAGTACACCTTTTCCCTGTACTCCTCACCTACAACCAAAGAACGTACATTATGAAAAGTGTCTAACAGTATCTGGAAACAACCTTTTCTTCCAACAGGTGACTTTTGTACAAAACACAAAAAATTAAAAAAAAAAAACAACTCTGTTTTTCTTTCATGATTATGGCCGTACATCTAGTAGTCTTTATGAAAAGAATCTGCTGACAAATGCAAGTATGACCACCTCATTCAAATGTTTGTTGTTCTGATGCAAATGGATATTGGTTTCGATAGAAGCTGGATCCTTTATACTGCATTTCCTGAGTTCTTTTTTGGCGTTTGTGTTAAGGTAGGTGTAGCTTGAACTCACAATGAAATCCTGGAGTTTTGCTATCAGGAGCTTAGCAGCTTTGCAGTTTGGGAAACAAAGAAACCAAAGCTGAATATTTTAGAGAATGAATATATCTGGAAATCCTTGCTCTCAAAAGAAAAGACACTCATCAAAGGTGTAGTCTTTCCTCAGTGTTCTACTTTTTAAAAGATTTTATCTGCATATTTGCATCAAATATTTCTTTATGTGCAAAACATATGTTTTACCTCCTTAAATTGCCTAAAAGTTAGTTAATGGCTCCTTTGGTTTAATCTATACACAATGATTAAGTGCATTTAATATTGGTAATTTAATGAGAAGCATTCCTTGCCCAATGGATGTATACATTTTTGAAAGAATAAGCAGAATTATATAATATGAAATGCTATGTAAAGTTTTCTATGTAAAAATATTATGTATAATACTGTTAAAATATCCCATGCTTTGATCAGGTGGTAAATCAATAAAGTTTTAAAAACTAAAGCTGCTCTTAATGTGGTCATTGCAAATATCTATTCAGCTACAGTTCTGGGTTAGTTTGAGGTTGTTCTTATGGCAGGTTTAAGCATCAAGTTCCCAATTGGTGGTAAACTTTGATAAAATCTGAGGCCAGCCCCATGGCCCAATGGTTTAGGGGAGTCAGATCCCATATGACTGAGTACACTGTTGGAATCCCAGCCCTAGCAGCTTGAAAAAACCAGGCGCTTGTGTGTCCATGTCCAGAATTCCAACAAGATAGAGAAGTGGAGACAGGAATGTACTGGGTTGTCAGAAAAGTCATGACACATTTTCTTCTATGGTTTACCAGCAACCTAGTAGTATGCCCGTGCTCTCTTGAGGAGGTGCTTGCTCGCTCTCTCTCTCTCGCTCTCTCTCTCTCGCTCTCTCTCTCTCTCCCCCAAGCAAGTGCAGATGCCCTCTGGCAAAGTTTTCAAAAATGGCCTCTGTATTAAATATAGTTATTAATGGGAGAATATTAATTGTGGTTCTCCATTTTTAGAAGTTAAATTTCCACCTCCCACCAAGAAAGGGGAAGAAGTATCTCTTGAATTCATGGTAACATTAATTTAACCACTGGTCCGTTCAGAAGACACTTTAATCATTCACTGGCACTGAGAGTGAGATTATAGGACAGGCAGGGATGGGCGCTGGCATTGACTTAAGTCGGCAACGACTGTAAGGTTCCCACAGGATGCTCACATAAGAGGAGAGTAAATCTAGGTTGGATCTACTGCCTCTGAATTCAGAATCCATTCTTTCTGTAATATTCTAAAGTCCTAAGTCATTAATTTGTACTTAAAATATTCCACCACTGAAATCGACTAATACATTGTCATTTTTATTAATTCACTAGAGTAAAACTAAAACCTCTAATCTCTGTGGTACTAAATTTCATGTACTTCTAGTGAAGAACAAGATTATAGCTCTTTTTTTTTGGAAAACATTTTAAAAGAGCCTTTATCTCTTCAGAGCAAATAGTGCCTGGGTGGCATCTGGAGCAGTGTTTTCAATCTGCTACCAAGGTTTTTGGTTCTGCTCCCAGGGGATAGTGGGACACCTGTCTGGAGGCATTTTTGGTTATCACAACCACAAAGGGGGGAGGAGTCTACTTACTTCTGATGGTAGAAGCCAGGTCTGATGCTCAACCAGACCTCGAAACAAGAATTACCTAGACCCTGGGCCAGCAAGTGGTGTAGGGTGAAGGCACTGGATCCCACATTGCCAACTCCATGGTTCAAGTCCTGAATCCACACCAGGTACCTCTGTGTGTATGCCCGAAATCCCAAGAGGAGAAGGGATTGTGGTGTGGCCAAAAAAAAAGAAAAAACTCTTTTAAAAAATAAAAATACCCAGACCCAAGTGGCAATGGGTGCTGAGTTGGAGAAACCCTCAACCAAAGTGGCCTCCTTCCTTTTAACAGGGCTTCCTTGGCATGGCAGCAAAGGGCCCAAAAGTCAAATTTGTGGCAGATACCTTCTTGACCTTCCTATGGGGGAAAAAAAGCCAGCCATGGTGGCATGCAGTGCTGACACACTGTACTCACAGAGCGGGACCACATGGGAGGCCCAGGTTTTATCCCTGGCCCATCCATAACGCTGGGAGTGCCACTATAATCCCAGCAACTCAGGGAGACTTAGGCAGGAGGATCGAGAGCTTGTGACTGGCCTAGACAACATAGACTTGTCTGAAAGAGCTAGGCATGAGCTGGCTCCATTGCACAACAGTAATGTGAGAGCTGGATCCCACATGGTAAGTGGAGTTCAGATCCTCAGCCTGGCCAGCCCAAAACACGCCAGGCACACACACGAGTGCCTAAGATGTAATAGGCTGGAGGACTGGAGGGCAGAGACTGAGGCATCACCAGACCCTGTGGGCGGTGCTCATCTCTTCCCCGACTCACATCTGTCACATGTGCATT